GTGAAACAAATATTAAAGCATAAGCTCATTTGTTTACCCACGAACAAAAATAGGCCTACGAAAAATCTAGCTTAATTTTCGTTTGCTCGTTTTCAAACAGAACGAAATAATAATAATAATAATTATTATTATTATTACTATTATTATGTTATTGTTGTTGTTGTTATCATTTATTATTATTATTATTATTGTTAGCCTATTAGAAAATCTCTTTTTCTTTTTTTCGTATTTCGATTTGTTGATAAAACATACTTCAGTCATTCAAATAAAGAAATATGAAGCCCAGTTTTGATCTGATCATAGCCTAAAGGAGTCATGGGTCAGTGCAGTTATTGGATAGCACTATATTGTAGACAGATTGGAGATTAATCCTAATAAACATGCCGCTGCAATTAAAACCATTAAATTAAAATAAATTTAAAAGAGTGTATTTCAATCATTTCAGCAGCGTGCAGATCCTGGTTTCTGTCAGACTGTAGCTACAGCAGCGCGTGCAGTGCTTAGCTCGCTCACATAATGTACCATATAGCCCATCTATAATAACGGGAAAACATCTCGTTTTAACGAGAAAATATGTCGTTTTAACGAGAAAATGTCGTTATTACGAGAAAACATCTCGTTATTACGAGAAAAGATGTCGTTATTACGAGAAAAGATGTCGTTATTACGAGAAAAGATGTCGTTATTACGAGAAAAGATGTCGTTATTACGAGAAAAGATGTCGTTATTACGAGAAAAGATGTCGTTATTACGAGAAAAGATGTCGTTATTACGAGAAAAGATGTCGTTATTACGAGAAAAGATGTCGTTATTACGAGAAAAGATGTCGTAATTACGAGAAAAGATGACGTAATTACGAGAAAAGATGACGTAATTACGAGAAAAGATGTCGTTATTACGAGAAAAGATGTCGTAATTACGAGAAAAGATGTCGTAATTACGAGAAAAGATGACGTAATTACGAGAAAAGATGACGTAATTACGAGAAATGATGACGTAATTACGAGAAAAGATGTCGTTTTAACGAGAAAAGATGTCGTTTTAACAAGAAAATGACGTTTTAACGAGAAAACATCTCGTTATTACGACATAATTGAGTGGAAAAAATAATGTGTGCGGCAGCAATGCGTCACCGTAGTATTGAAACATTTTGCATTCTACCTACGATAAAACGTTCATGGACTTCTACATTAACTTTTCCCTCCTGGTGGAATGACCTGCCCAGCTCAATCCAAGCTGCTGAGTCCTTAATATTTTCAAGAAACGGCTGAAAACACATCTCTTTCATCTTCATTTGACCCTCTAACTCTAGCACTCTATTCTATTTCTATTCTAATGGCCAATCCATAATTTTTGGGGGGATTTTTTTATTTTTTATAAGTATCAGTTTAGGCACTGGAACCATTTTAAAAGTATCGATTTGACACCGGTATCAGAAGAAGAAAAAAACGATACCCAAGCCTACTCGCGAGATCTGACTGGTCTCGCGAGATCTGACTGGTCTCGCGAGATCTGACTGGTCTCGCGAGATCTGACTGGTCTCGCGAGATCTGACTGGTCTCGCGAGATCTGACTGGTCTCGCGAGATCTGACTGGTCTCGCGAGATCTGACTGGTCTCGCGAGATCTGACTGGTCTCGCGAGATCTGACTGGTCTCGCGAGAACGTGACGATATCCTAGCGCAGACCTTTCCGATATATTTGCATTACACTGGCTTGTTCACAAGTGGTGGTATGTAAGATATTTTGTTACATCAGGCAAGTGGCCGCATGATAAGCGGGAAAATTACGCAGTGTAGTCTTTATCCAGTCATAAAAACTGAATTCACAGTTTAACACTGAATGTCACGGAATTTGTCAACTTTTGAATGAATTAATGAAAAGTAGGTCATTACACTTAAATCAAATCACGATATGGACTAGTATCTGTAAATATTAAGCCGCAAAAGTTGATTTAAATATGAACCCTGCATGTTCTGCGTGTCTCTGTTAATGAATGGCGCAGACGTGCGGTTTCATTTACTACACGCACACTGAAGCGGCTACTTTAAGAAACAAAATGAATACATTAAGTTGTTTTAAGCATTCAAATAATTAGACATGCTAAAACACAGAATTTGGTAACAATAAATAATATGGTGAGAAAACATTTCATTGGGCCCTAAACGTAATTTTTGTTAAACTTTTAATAAATTGATGTGAAAATGTATAAGTTTCATGATTTGAATTAATTAGTCATGCTTTTTAATTAATACAATATAATTTAACTATTAAAGAGTCAAGAAAAATTAAAATTGAAAAAACGGAATTTGGAAAAAAATCAAACAATTTAGGAAAAAATAAAACGGATTTCATAGGGCCCTAAATATCCCTCAGCTTTGCCGCGCCCCCCAGTTTGGCAACCACTGCTTTATTCTTTTAAATTGATATATTAATCGTGTTTATTATATATTTTTTTTATTAAAGTGGAAATCAGTTTACTAAATAATATAAACTTGACTGACTGTTTTCTATATTAATATATTTTGAAAATCAAATGGGAATTGTGTGCGTTCAAAAAAGAAAGAAAAAAACGAATTGTCAGCAGCGTAAACGAAGAAGTTAAGTCAACTCAAGTTTGTTGTTTTTAAGACCATGCACTTTTGTCACTTTTTCACTTTTACATATGGAAAGTAAAATATATTTTTGATAGGTCTTTTTTGGTCGGATTGTATTTTTCCAGTGTGCGGACAACTTCAGCTACTTGGTTGAATATTAGTGCTGTGTTCAAAATATCGATACGACGATGTATCATCACAGAGATTTGACGATACGAGTATCGATACAGCTGGCCGTGTATCGATATTGTGGCACGTGTGCAGCAGTGGACCGCGCTTAATTTGTTAAAAATTTTACAACATTTAAAATTGAGTAAAAAAGTGCGAGGTTTCTAAAAAATAATGAATAGAGCATATATAGGCTACAACAAGGTTTAATCTGGCCGCAGAGGAACACAACTGGGTTGCATTAGATACAGTGAAGACAGCGCGTTAGTTTAGAACACTTTTTTTTTTTTTATTGTAGAGTGTTAATTTGTGCAATGATAACCTACCAGCAATGTAAATTATTTTTAAAATATATTAGAATGAGTACATTACAATATACATTTATTAGAACAAGTACATTATTATTTATGGGCTTAAAAACAAGATGCAAACAATCAGAATATTGTACCTGGTGGGGAGTGCACAATGTAAACATGAAATATATGCAATTACCTATATTGTACTGTGGTACAGTTATGGAGGCCCTTCATAATGCAGAGCTCAACTGCCTGCTCTGCCAATAGTTAGAAATGCCACTATAGTAAGCAGTTTAATAAACAGCTGTTTTTTGAAATTCTGCTTAGGTGAAATTCAGTGCAGTCATGTATCATGATACGTATCGTATCGTGGCATCTGTATCGTGATACACATCGTATCGTGACTTTGCTGGTGATACACAGCCCTATTGAATATATTTTGAAAAGTAATTTGTTCGTATGATGGCAAAGCAGAATAAATTATTATTGGTCTGCAATTATTAAAAATGGGTCTTATTACTAGCAATGCTGAAAACTGTTTTTGCGGTTTAATATTTTTGTGAAAACATTGATAATTCTGCGGAAAATTCAGCTTTGCCATCACAGGAACAAATTACATTTTAAAATATATTCAGATAGAAAACAGTTATTTTATTGTAATAATATTTCACAGTATTACTGTTTTTTACTTTATTTTCGATCAAGTAAATGCAGCCTTAGTGAGCAAATTTTAGTTAGAAAGTTTTGACTGGTATTATAACCATAATCGTAACTCAATGCTTCTTGTATTAAATATATTATAACACATATTTTAAAAAACATAGCTAGCATTAATAGATGTAATGTTAAAATTATCATAAATATTTAAATATATTATTATTATTATTTTACATATATTGTGTGTGTGTGTGTGTGTATATATATATATATATATATATATATATATATATATATATATATATATATATATATATTCTAAAATGTCAATTATTCTGATCTATTTTTTTTATTGTTTTTCAGCACAAAGATGCTTATCAGGTGATTCTGGATGGCGTTAAAGGAGGTCCAAAGGAGAAGCGACTGGCCGCACAGTTCATTCCAAAATTTTTCTGCAGTTTTCCAGCGCTGGCTGATGCAGCCATCAACGCACAGCTTGATCTGTGTGAGGATGAGGATGTATCTGTGAGTACATCATCATCATCATGTCAGAGATTTGCATGTTATGGGTATGAAACCAGAAAACAAATCTTTACGATGTTGGTTCATCTTTCCTGGTTTCCTGATTATAGATCAGAAGGCAAGCTATCAAAGAACTGCCCCGTTTCGCATCAGGAGAGAATTTACCCAGAGTCGCAGACATCCTCACACAGCTGCTGCAGACAGGTCGGTCTCGCATCTACTAAGAACCTGGTTTTAAGGCAGTGTTAGGTTCTTGCATTTCTGGATAAATTAGTGCATTTAAACAACATGCTGTTTGATCATAGCCGTTTCTTCTCATATCTTCTAGATGATTCTGCTGAATTCAATCAAGTCAACACCGCTTTGATCTCCATATTCAAAATCGATGCAAAAGGTATTTGTTCATCATACACTCAATGCTTTATGGGTAGAATGTGTTTTCTGTTAATTCTACAGATAAAATTACTGATTTATATTGTATTGATGAGTAAAAGACCTCCTAGCTAAAGTTATTGTCCTCTTTGACCCTGGCTTCTTTCTTTGCAGGAACTTTGGGAGGCTTATTCAGTCAGATCCTGCAGGGAGAAGATATTGTTCGAGAAAGAGCAATTAAGTTTCTCTCTACTAAGTTGAAAATGATGCCAGATGACACAATGACAAAAGAGGTGGAAGATTACATCTTCATAGAGACAAAAAAGGTATCATTTATATTTTTATTCAGAAGTTTGGGGTTGGTAATATTAATTTTGAAAGAAATCTCTTCTGCCTACCAAGACTGAAATTATTTGATCAACAAAAATAGTAATATTGCATCATATCCTATGATGCAAAGCTGAATTTTCAGCATCATTACTCCAGTCTTCAGTGTCTCATGATTCTTCAGAAATCATTCTAGTATACTGATTTGCTGCTCAAGAAACATTTATTATCAATGTCGAAAACAGTTGTGCTGTTTCATGTTTTTGTGGAAACAGTGATACTTTTTTCATGATTCTTTGATAAATAGAAAGTTTAAAATAACAGCATTTATTTGAAATAGAAATCCTTTGTAAAATTAGAAATTTCTTTACTTTCAGTTTTGATCAATGTAATATATTCTTCTTGAATATGTGTTAATTCATTTCAAACACAAACAAAAATCTTATTGACTAGTTTAAATATTTAATGCATGTGCAAATTTCTTAATGTGCCGTTTATATACATATTAGTTTCATATTGTTTTGGAAAAACTGAAAAGTTTAAGGTTAATTACTCTAAAAATGCCATGTTTCATAACATCAAATAAAAAGTAATAAAGTATGCTTTATTTTTAAAAAAGTAAATATTTTTTGTATCTAAGTATTCTACAACATATGACTTATTGAGAGTCACACCACATGACATTTTATAACCTGAGCTAACCTTGTCTTGTAAATTTATTTTATTTAATTTTTTTAATTTTGCTGAATGCTATTTGCATCACATGTTTTTTAATTGGTTGCACCACATAATATCAAATGGCTTTCTCACACTTGAGCTGTCACTCTCATTGTCTTAGGTCCTAGAGGATGTGACGGGGGAGGAGTTTGTGCTTCTGATGCGTATCCTGTCCGGGCTGAAGAACATGCAGACTGTGAGCGGGCGGCAGCAGTTGGTGGAGCTGGTGGTGGAGCAGGCTTTCCTGGAGCAGGCGCTGAACCCCACAGATGCAGACAGCGTCGACCGGCTCCTGCAGTGCACGCGCCAGGCCTTACCACTCTTTTCTGTGAGTGAAACCACAGCAACGGTCAGCGATAATATTAGAATATTTCTCCAATAATATTCAGCTGTTGAATTTGTCACTTCCTGACAAAAGCTTGCATGCCTGAATTGTTCACAAAAATTTTAATCCAAACAAGAAAAAAAATGTAGTTTGAGAATTGTATTTATATAAACATTTGTCATTTTGTCTTGTCTTTATTATTAATAACTTTTTTTTGTCCTATTACTTGTGCAAATCATCACTGCTTATTTTAAGGCAAATCATAATTATTAACATTTCTCTTTCTCTCCTCCAGAAAAATGTGCATTCTACTCGCTTTGTGACATACTTCTGTGAATTTGTTCTACCCAACCTCAGTCTGCTCACCAGCCCTGTAGCAGAACTGGACATCCAGCTGGAGGTGTGTATAACAAGCTGGAAATCATGGTCAAAATGCTTGGAACCCTGCATAAATCTTCTGCATGTTAAACTTGTATGCGAGAGTCATTTTTAACATGAAAAAGGGCACATTTTCATTTGTTACTTGTTTGTTGAGTTGTTATTTATTTATTTTTTTTGGCCCAGACATTTGTAGAATGCTGGAAAATTAACTCAATATTTTCTGCTTTACAGGTACTCAAGTTATTAGCAGAGATGAGTCCGTATTGTGGTGACATGGACAAACTGGAGGTCAATCTCAACATGCTGTTTGAGAAGCTACTGGTAATGGCTTACGTTGAACTCCTGACCTCATGCAAGAATTTAGAAAGCTTTCCACTTCAGCCTAGGGGTGTGCGATATGACGATTTTTGATCGTGGACGTTAAAAATGTCTCCACGATCAGCTTTTGAAGAAATATCGTAGTATGGTGCTTCAGCGCACTTTCTATCAGCTGCAGTTCTGATGCGTCCGTCTCAATCTCAGTATACTGTAGGCTACAACGCGACATACATTCACATCAGTGTTAACTCAGCGGTAGAGTTACTCTCACGGGACACTGCACTTAATCACAATCACAAAAGTACATTATTTGCATCTGCTTTAAAGGGTCATGAAACCCCCTGTTTCAGCACTGGTTAGTTCTCTCCACATTTAAAAAAAAAATGCTAAAAGAGTGGCCGTGGTGCGCAGCGGAGAGGGAAGAAGGAAGACAGACAACACAACCATTTGCACTCTGCATCGAAAACATGTATATGAATGCGCTATTGCACCTCTGATAACTTTTAAGGCTTATTCTGCTGCGTTTATATAAGCCTTTTGACGGGCTGTGTCACAGAGCTGTAAAAACGGTTACACTCACTAAGTGAATGAATCGCGTTTGTGCCGAACTCTTATTACAAAGCAAAAACAAACACTCTTTCCTCGATCCATAAATGTTTGGAGGCGCTTGAGGCGGCTGTCATAGCAAATCAGCACATGCTGTTGTGAATAATTAAGCGAACCGTCTTCTCATTGGATCAGAACACGCAGTCTCATGAATAATTTTATTAGCAGAGATGAGTCCGTATTGTGGTGACATGGACAAACTGGAGGTCAATCTCAACATGCTGTTTGAGAAGCTACTGGTAATGGCTTACGTTGAACTCCTGACCTCATGCAAGAATTTAGAAAGCTTTCCACTTCAGCCTAGGGGTGTGCGATATGACGATTTTTGATCGTGGACGTTAAAAATGTCTCCACGATCAGCTTTTGAAGAAATATCGTAGTATGGTGCTTCAGCGCACTTTCTATCAGCTGCAGTTCTGATGCGTCCGTCTCAATCTCAGTATACTGTAGGCTACAACGCGACATACATTCACATCAGTGTTAACTCAGCGGTAGAGTTACTCTCACGGGACACTGCACTTAATCACAATCACAAAAGTACATTATTTGCATCTGCTTTAAAGGGTCATGAAACCCCCTGTTTCAGCACTGGTTAGTTCTCTCCACATTTAAAAAAAAAATGCTAAAAGAGTGGCCGTGGTGCGCAGCGGAGAGGGAAGAAGGAAGACAGACAACACAACCATTTGCACTCTGCATCGAAAACATGTATATGAATGCGCTATTGCACCTCTGATAACTTTTAAGGCTTATTCTGCTGCGTTTATATAAGCCTTTTGACGGGCTGTGTCACAGAGCTGTAAAAACGGTTACACTCACTAAGTGAATGAATCGCGTTTGTGCCGAACTCTTATTACAAAGCAAAAACAAACACTCTTTCCTCGATCCATAAATGTTTGGAGGCGCTTGAGGCGGCTGTCATAGCAAATCAGCACATGCTGTTGTGAATAATTAAGCGAACCGTCTTCTCATTGGATCAGAACACGCAGTCTCATGAATAATTTATAGACACTGTCCATTGATGTCCTTTGTACGGTGGCCGAGAGAGCTCAACGCGCTGCAACTTAAGAAAACGCATGCAAACATCATCAGTTTGACAACACACCCGCTGCAAATCCTCACAACACATGCAAATGAAGAAACGC